TTACACAGGTAACAAAATGAGATTAGCAGCACTCCCTTTAAGAGACTGCTTCTAATCTCAGCTTGTTACCTATATGAAAGACACTTGGTAGCCAGAAATCCTGCTGAATGATAGGGGATCAAATACCTATTTCCCTCATGGACATACAAATCAGTGTATAATTTGTTAGACATGCATTAATTTTGATTTTTTTTTGTTGCTATTCTGTCTCTGTGTTGCAATACACCTACCATTTGATTTTTACACTGATCATTTCTTTGTGAGTGGGCAAACATTCAAAATCAGCAGGGGATCAAATACTTATTTCCTTCACTGTATGTTACTGAATATAGTTTAGAATTTGCAAATATAAAACAAAATTCTGCAAAGGTATTTGCTCGTATTACATGGGGAGATTTTATGCATTCTTTAGTTTTAACGAACCGTGTTAGTGGTAGCAGAAAGATCTCCAACTGTCAGTAATATATCCCCTAATATGGTCTTTAGTAAAAGGAGAAATGGCACATGACTAAGTGATAAGGGCACATATAAACATGGCAATAATTCTTGCCCTTGTTTATTTATTTATTCCAGGTACTTATATAGCGCCGTCAATTTACGCAGCGCTTTACATAAATAGTATACATTCCCATCAGTCCCTAACCCACAAGGGGTGTACAATCTAAGATCCCTACCTCACATTCATACAGACACATACTAGGGCCAATTTAGACTGGATCCAATTACCCTACCAGCATGTCTTTGGAGTGTGGGAGGAAACCGGAGTACCCGGAGGAAACCCACGCAGGCACAGGGAGAACATGCAAACTCCAGGCAGGAGGTGCCGTGGCTGGGATTCGAACCAACGACCCGAGTACTGCCAGGCGGAAGTGCTAACCGTTTAGCCACTGTGCTGCCCCATATTGAGTACATGTAACAGTAAGTAAAGAATTTGCATTACTGGTCATTCCTTAACCACTTGCCCTCCTGAGGGTTTACCCCCCCTTAATGACCAGGCCTCTTTTTACTACTCAGCACTGCACTAATTCAACTGTCATGCAATGCTGTACCCAAACGAAATTTATGTCCTTTTTTTCACACAAATAGAGCTTTCGTTTGGGGTATTTGATCACCTGTGCACTTTTTCTTTTTGGCTCTATAAACAAAAAAAGTTTTGAGAAAAAAAATTTGAAAAAAATATTTTCTCATTTCTGTCATAAAAAAATATCCAAAAAAACTAAAATTTCATCATAAATTTAGGTCAAAATGTATTCTGCTACATGTTTTTGGTTAAAAAAAATCCCAAAAAGTGTATATTGAATGCTTTGTGTGAAAGTTATAGCATCTACAAACTATGGTATAGATAATGGAATTTACACAGCTTTTCCTTTGACTGCTCATCACATTTCTTGAGGTGCTAAAATACCAGGATAGTACAAACACCCCCAAATGACCCCTCTTCGAAAAGTAGACACCCTAAGCTATCTACTGAGACACATATTGACTCGAATTTACTATTGAGCCTAGGCGCATTTCTGTGGGCTAGCGTCTATTTTTTAATAGCGGCCGTCTACTTTTAGACGGCAAAGACATTTACTAAAGAAAGCGTCTAAGAAGTAGACGCCAAATCGAATTTACTAAATAGACACAGTCTAGGAAGCAGACCCAAAAAGCAAACGTGCTAAGAAGCACGTCTAACACCATGAAAAATCACTGCAGAGACATGTTTCCATTGAAATTTGCAAAATATCAGGACTTCACTTTTAACAATATCTGACATTTCCAAAAATATTTTAAGGGCTGGTCGTCACATTAAAAAACTAGACGCTTTTCCAGCGGCTCTGGCCGATAGAAATGCGCATGTGCAGAACACATGTTAGACGTCTTCCGTGGGCGCTTTCTTTTTAGATGCTGTTCAATAGTAAATCTCTGTGTGGAGTCTACTGACAGACGGCAAAGATCGCGTCTACTGTGTTTAACAAACAGCACTAGGCATATCTTTCTGTATTCTAATTTGAATTGCTTAGTTCTTTTGATTCTATTTTTGTTTCTTATCCTTTTTAATTATTTCTGTAATGATTTTACTTCTTTCGAATGTCTATTTAATATTTATTTTGACAGTTGAATATAAAAAAAAGGTCTGCAATAAAAAAATTAAAAAAAACAAATGTGTGGGGTCCCCCCTCCCATCCATACCAAGCCCTTCGGGTCTGGTATGGATATTAAGGGGGAACTCCACGCCAAAATTAAAAAAAAAAAAAAACAGCGTGGGGTTCCCCCCTAAATCCATACCAGACCCTTATCCGAGCATGCAGCCCGGCAGGTCAGGAAAGGGGGGAGGAACGAGCGAGCACCCCCCCCCCCCGAAACATACCAGGCCACATGCCCCCCCCCCCCCCCAAAGCACCTTGTCCCCATGTTGATGGGGACAAGGGCCTCTTTCCCACAACCCTGGCTGGTGGTTGTGGGGGTCTGTGGGTGGGGGCTTATCAGAATCTGGAAGCCCCCTTTAACAAGGGGACCCCCAGATCCCGCCCCCCCCTCTACATGGTACCGCTACTATTTAACCAAAAAAGGAACAATGTAGTGTAAAAAAACACAGTACAGGGTCTTTGAGAAGTCCTTTAATAAAACAATGTCCCCCGAAGTAGATCCAACGTCAATCACGGCGGCAATCCGAAAAAAAAAAAAAAAAAAAAAAAGTTCCGGTACCGTCGGAGGCTTCCAGCCTTATGAAGAGAATCTCACTGACAGCTCTTAAATAGGTTAGGGGGACATCATCCGAGTGACCTCGCCCCATGTGACATCATTGAGATGTCACATGGGGTGGAATCACATGCTTGATGTCCCCGGCTGGCCCCGCCCCTTACCTATTTAAGAACTGTCACCGTCTCTTCACTGAGGCTAACCAGCTTTATGCAGGAGACAGTTTGACAGTTCTTATATAGGTAAGGGGCGGGGACAGCAAGCATGTGACATGGGGCGGGGTCACTCGGATAATGTCCCCGGCTGGCCCCGCCCCTTACCTCTAAAAGAACTGTCAGAGAGAGACTCACTGCATAAGGCAGCTAGCCTCTGTCTAGAGCGGAGCTTTTTTCTTTTTTCGGGTCGCCGTGATTGACGTTGGATCTACTTCGGGGGGCATTGTTTTATTAAATGACTTGTCAAAGACCCTGTACTGTGGTTTTTTTTACATTACACTTCATTACAGACTCATTCACGTAGGGGGGGCGGGATCTGGGGGCCCCCTTGTTAAAGGGGGCTTCCAGATTCTGATAAGCCCCCTGCCCACAGACCCCCAAAACCACCAGCCAGGGTTGTGGGGAAGAGGCCCTTGTCCCCATCAACATGGGGACAAGGTGCTTTGGGGGGGGCCCCCTGCCCCAAAGCACCCCCCCATGTTGAGGGCATGTGGCCTGTTATGGTTCGGGGGGGGTGCTCGCTCGCTCCCCCCCCCCCCCCCCCCCCCTTTTCTTACCTGCCGGGCTGCATGCTCGGATAAGGGTCTGGTATGGATTTTGGGGGGGACTCCACGCATTTTTTTTTTTTTTTTTTTACATTTCGGCGTGGGGTTACCCCTTAATATCCATACCAGACTCGAAGGGCTTGGTATGGATGGGGAGGGGGACCCCACGCTGTTTTTTTAATTTAATAAAGGAAATTATTTTACATTCAGCTGTCAGTGGGGAACCCTGCTGACAGCTTAAACATTAACACATGGTTGTCGCTCCTAAAATCCCGCATGAGTTATTTTATCAACTCATGCAGCGTTTTAGTAGTGAAAACCAATGCAGTGATCATGTTTCAGCTGTCGGCGGAGTTCCCACTGACAGCTGAATGTAAAAGTATTGCTGGGAATTATAAAAATTAAAAAAAAAAAAAAAAACGGCTTGGGGTCCCCCCTCGCATCCATACCAAGCCCTTTGGGTCTGGTATGGATGTTAAGGGGTAACTCCACGCCGAAATTAAATAAAAAACAGAGTGGAGTCCCCCCCCAAAATCCATACCAGACCCTTATCCGAGCATGCAGCCCGGCAGGTCAGGAAAGGGGGGGAATGAGCGAGCACCCCCTCCCCCGTCCTGAACAAAAAAAAGCAAAAATGTAGTGTAAAAAACCACAGTACAGGGTCTTTGACAAGTCCTTTAATAAAACAATGTCCCCCAAGTAGATCCAACGTCAATCACAATGTCACGGCGCCCCAAAAAAAAAGGAAAAAAAGAAAAACTGTTCAGCACTCGGCGAGGCTCAACAGCCTTATGCAGCCAGTCTCCCTGACATTTCTTATATAGGTAAGGGGCGGGGCCAGCCAGGGACATCATCGGAGTGTTCCCACCCCATGTGACATCATTGATGTCACATGGGGTGGGATCACATGCTTGATGTCCTCGGCTGGCCCCGCCCCTTACCTATATAAGAAATTTTTTTTTTACACTACACTTTTGCTTTTTTTGTGAATTAGTAGCACTTTTGCTTTTTTTGTGAATTAGTAGCGGTACCATGTACCACAGACTCATTCACATTGGGGGGGAGGGCGGGATCTGGGGGCCCCCTTGTTAAAGGGGGCTTCCAGATTCTGATAAGCCCCCTGCCCGCAGACTCCCACAACCACCGGCCAGGGTTGTGGGGATGAGGTCCTTGTCCCCATCAACATGGGGACAAGGTGCTTTGGGGGGGGAGCCCCCATGTTGAGGGCATGTGGCCTGGTATGGTTCAGGAAATAAAGTAAATCCAAATTTACCGATAAAAAAAAAAAAGTGGCAAAATCCCAGAAAATGGCCGACCAATTAACCCACTAACGGCCCAAAAATCGGCCGATTTTTATCCAAATTTACCGATAAAAAAAAAAGTGCCAAAATCTCAAAAAATGGCCGACCAATTCACCCACTAATGGCCCGAAAATCAGCCGTTTTTTTTTTTTTTTTTTTCGATAGGCCATAGATGGGTCTAAATACGGCCGATTTTTCAGCCGAAAAAAAAAATCTGAAGATTTTCGGGCCGTTAGTGGGTTTAATTGGTCGGCGGTTTTTCGGGATTTTGGCACATTTTTTTATCAGTAAATTTTGGAAAAAAAAATTGGACGATTTTGCCGAAAATTGGGCGATCAGCAAAATCGGCCAATTTTTTTTCCAACTTTACCGATAAACAGAATGTGCCAAAATCCAGAACAAATGGCTGACCAACATGGGGACAAGGTGCTTTGGGGGGAGCCCCCCTGCCCCAAAGCACCCCCCTATGTTGAGGGCATGTGGCCTGGTATGTTTCAGGAGGGGGGGCGCTTGCTCGTCCCCCCCTTTCCTGACCTGCCGGGCTGCATGCTCGAATAAGGGTCTGGTATGGATTTTGGGGGGAACCCCAAGCTGTTTTTTTATTTAATTTTAGCGTGGAGTTACCCCTTAATATACATACCAGACCTGAAGGGTTTGGTGTGGATGGGAGGGGGGACCCCACACAGTTTTTTATTTATTATGGTGCTGGTTTTTAAATGTAATTCTCCCTTTTTTTTTTTTTTTTTTTTCTTCACTATAGCTCAGAAATTCACCTGTCACTTCCGCCAGCTAAAAGAGAAAGTTTTCTTGGAATTTATATCCCTAAAGGAAACAATGTTTACTTTGAGTTTATTAAAAGATACAAAGTTTTCTGTAACTTCGGGGAAAGTGACTTCTAAGCTTGTGAACTATAGTGAAGAAAAAAAAAGGCTGGCATTTGCATTTGAAAAAATCAGTGCCGACATACACTTTGTATTAGTATTGCAATCCTTTGTATTGGGATACATAGAACCAACATACATCTGAATTGCCAACATAGCACAACATTTGTGTCACATTTGAGATATCTGGCTTGTTACACTGACCTTGCCCAGGGACTTAGGGTTGATTCACACCACAGAAATACAGGTGGGAGTAGTGTTCAACAGCTCCATGGATTAGTGGTTAGCACTGCTGCCTCACAACGCTAGGGTTGTTGGTTTGAATCCCAACCACAGCAATGAATTTGCATGATCTCTGTGTGACTACCCTAACATACATGTGCTGGTGGCAGCATATTTGCTTTCTGTCTAAATGGTCCCTAGAATGTGAATTAGAATGAGGCCTTGTCTGTTCAAACACCTTTAAAGTAGCACCTTATGTGAATGTCAAATGATGGGATGAGAGAAGGGTCTGGACTAATGATTGATTGGATAATGCTGGTTTGCACTCTACCTCCTTTTGGGAAAGTTTGTCAAACCATGAGAGAGAGCGAGAGAGAGAAAAGGATTAAAAAAAATAAAATAATGGCATGGAGCCCCCCCCCCCCCCAAAATCCATAACAGACCCTTATCTGAGCATGCAGATACCGCATGCCTTCAAAAATGTATTTCCTTTGTTGAATTGCCTGCTTAGTTCACACTAGATGTTATTTGCTTTTTGTTGGCAATTTCACCGTGTTTTCTGTAGATTTACCAATGAGTTATTGCGTTTTCAATTGTGTTTTGCATTGTGATTTCTATTGTAGTCTATATGTGAAATCACTACAAAATGCAGAAAAAGTTAGACAAGAACTACTTTTGAAATTGTGCTGCAGCAAATCGCTTACGTTAAGACACTCACATCCACATTCATTAGATCGGATATCAGGTACAATTTCAATTCCCAAATCGCACCTGAAATTGTGCACCCTGAATGCGACTTGGCATGCGATTTGCATGGCATGCGACTTGCAAATCGTATGCCTAGTCGCACCCTATTGTCTGCTATTAGAGCAGTCACATGGGTGTGTTTCCTACACTGATTTCTAAAGTAGTACATGTACTACTATTGTGACGATTTGCATAGATATGTGTCAGATGTCTTGCAAATCGTAAGGAAATCAGCATCTTCACTGTATGTCGCACAATTTCTAAATTGGCTTTGATGTGACCCGGGGGGTGTAAGGCCTTTTTATGTTTGATTTCCTGAGTGTTTTGCATTTATGGGAAATGCCGCATACTAGCAAAAGTTAATTAACATTTTCAGTTTTGCGTGCGAGATGTGCTCATGTGACTGCCTTAACTCATGCAATAATCTGGAGTGAATTGTGCCCATATGGCCAAGAAATATTGCCATTTGGGTTCCCTTTCACATCCCTGTTCAATGTTCTGTTGTATGCTGCACAGGTACACTTCACTGTGGCTTTCTTTCTGACTCTGATTTGTGGGGCCTGTATACCAAGGGTTAACGCAGGTGGGAAGAGAATTAATCAGGTACAAACACTTTCTCTGACCAAATGAATGACAGTGGTGGGTGTGGCCTACCTTATATACAGAGATGCAGTAGGGGCTGATTTTTTGCCTTGTACAGGCACATTATTTTCTGCAAGTCCTTCTCTGTGGTGGTGGTTTGGGGGAGGAAGAGATATTGTGGTGAATTGCCCCAGGCCACACTCATGCTGTGTTTTGATGTGGGCTGTAAATGTTTTGCATGTTCTTCCTTTTAAGGTGTTTTGTGTGCTATTGTACAATGATTGTGTGTTTATTATCTTTGCATTGTAATCCTAACACATGTCAATTGCTCTGCTCTTCCAAGTTTGCTTTATTTAGAATGAAATGCAGTTTTCAGACAAACATGGTGAGAAATGTATGTGTGGGGGATTTGGGGACGCGGGGGAGGTGTTTTTATTTTGGCACGTATGTATTTTTTATATTGATATTTTGATCTGCAGCTTGTTTTGTGGATAAGCCTAAGTGATTCATATTAACCGTTTGTTTCCTGCTGTAACCTGTGAAAGCACAGTTCATTAGAAGTATAATCTTTTAGATTGTAAGCTCTTATGAGCAGGACCGTTCTATTTTAGCAACATCAATCCTGCTTTTTTTTTTTTTTTATTTTCACACCAAGATATTGAATGTAGCTTTTTGTTGCTGTCCAAATAAATGTGGAATGTGTATTTGATCAATAAACATTTGGACTATGTATTTTTTGGGGGGATTATTTCATGTTCTAGTTGAATGTAGCACAGTGGCTAAATGGTTAGCACTTCCACCTGGCAGTACTAGGGTTGTTGGTTCGAATCCCAGCCACGGCATCTCCTGCCTGAAGTTTGCATGTTCTCCCTGTGCCTGTGTTTCCTCCGGGTACTCTGGTTTCCTCCCACACTCTAAAGACATGCTGGTAGGTTAATTGGATCCTGTAAAAATTGGCCCTAGTATATGTATGTATGAATGTAAGTTAGGGCCCTTAGTACGCCCCTTGAGGGTTAGGGACTGATGTGAATTTACCACATCTACAGTGGGGCAAAAAAGTATTTAGTCAGCCACCAATTGTGCAAGTTCTCCCACTTACAAAGATGAGAGAGGCCTGTAATTGGCATCATAGGTAGACCTCAACTATGAGAGACAAAAATGAGAAACAAAATCCAGACAATCACATTGGCTGATTTGGAAATAATTTATTTGCAAATTATGGTGGAAAATAAGTATTTGGTCAATATCAAAAGTTCATCTCAATACTTTGTTATATATCCTTTGTTGGCAATGACAGAGGTCAGACGTTTCCTGTAAGTCTTCACAAGGTTGGCACATACTGTTGCTGGTATGTTGGCCCATTCCTCCATGCAGATCTCCTCTAGAGCAGTGATGTTTTGGGGCTGTCGCTGGGCAACACAGACTTTCAACTCCCTCCAAAGGTTTTCTATGGGGTTGAGATCTGGAGACTGGCTGGGCCACTCCAGGACCTTGAAATGCTTCTTACGAAGCCACTCCTTCGTTGACTTGCCCGGGCGGTATGTTTGGGATCATTGTCATGTTGGAAGACCCAGCCACGTTTCATCTTCAATGCCCTGGCTGATGGAAGGAGGTTTGCACTCAAAATCTCACGATACATGGCCCCATTCATTCTGTCCTGTACATGGATCAGTCGTCCTGGTCCCTTTGCGGAGAAACAGCCCCAAAGCATGATGTTGCCACCCCCATGCTTCACAGTAGGTATGGTGTTCTTTGGATGCAACTCGGCATTCTCTCTCCTCCAAACACGACGAGTTGTGTTTCTACCAAACAGTTCTATTTTGGTTTCATCTGACCATATGACATCCTCCCAATCCTCTTCTGGATCATCCAAATGCTCTCTAGCAAACTTCAGACGGGCCCGGACATGTACTGGCTTCAGCAGGGGGACACGTCTGGCACTGCAGGATCTGAGTCCCTGGCAGCGAAGTGTGTTACTGATGGTAGCCTTTGTTACGTTGATCCCAGCTCTCTGCAGGTCATTCACTAGGTCCCCCTGTGTGGTCCTGGGATTATTGCTCACCGTTCTTGTGATCATTTTGACCCCACGGGGTGAGATCTTGCGTGGAGCCCCAGATCGAGGGAGATTATCAGTGGTCTTGTATGTCTTCCATTTTCTAATTTATTGCTCCCACAGTTGATTTGTTCACACCAATGCTTGCTTGCCTATTGCAGATTCAGTCTTCCCAGCCTGGTGCAGGTCTACAATTTTGTTTCTGGTGTCCTTCGACAGCTCTTTGGTCTTCACCATAGTGGAGTTTGGAGTGTGACTGTTTGAGGTTGTGGACAGGTGTCTTTTATACTGATAACAAGTTCAAACAGGTGCCATTGATACAGGTAATGAGTGCAGGACAGAGGAGCCTCTTAAAGAAGAAGATACAGGTCTGTGAGAGCCAGAAATCTGGCTTGTTTGTAGGTGACCAAATACTTATTTTCCACCATAATTTGCAAATAAATTCTTTTCAAATCAGCCAATGTGATTGTCTGGATTTTTTTTCTCATTTTTTGTCTCTCATAGTTGAGGTCTACCTATGATGCCAATTACAGGCCTCTCTCATCTTTGTAAGTGGGAGAACTTGCACAATTGCTGGCTGACTAAATACTTTTTTGCCCCACTGTATATGTAAAAGCGCTGCGTAAATTGACAGCGCTATATAAGTATCTGAAATGTACTAGCACCCCAACACTTATTTTTGCTAGCTATATAATATGCCCAAATCTTCCTTGTTAGAGCGCACATATGCAAGTATGTCCAAACTAACAAACCAAAAGCCCCCTATTGCACCACAAGACCATGTTATGTACCAATGAATAGGTCGTGTTCAATGTGCAGCTAGCTATTCTTTTTCTACAATCCTCTTAACAGTAATAAATTGGGCCCCCAATTTATGTTGACTTTGGGCCTTTACCAGCAAATATATACTCGCCAATGTCATATACACAGTATAGCTGCAAGCATACATTCACCAATACCAAATCCACAATAGAACTGCAAACATATATTTGCAAATGTCATATGCACAATGGAGCCGCATGTAAAAATGGTATGGTGCACAAATAAACGCCAAGACGGCTGTTGGAGGAGGCGCTAGAGAGCTGTCATACC